AATTGCAAAAGGTAATACATGGATTAAAGGTTCTCCTCTTAGACTCCTTTTAACCGTAACGTGTTTATAAAAATACATGAACATGAAAAGATGGGATTTGTACAGACGTAAAGGGTCAGGGAGAGGGCTGTTGGAACCATTCCCTGTGCTGTGGCTTGGGTAGGACTTTGTCAGAAGTGAGGTCCCCCCTGAGTGGTTTTATGTATGTAATCTTAGCTAGGCCATGTTGCTTTTCTTAGTGTTTAAGCGATATATTCGTCACTCCGTCACATCTTGCCTCCGGAGATACCTGTGCAAATTGGATTGTTCTTATGTGAAATTGAAGTAGGGACGCGAGAACTGCTTGGTGCTTAAAAAGGGCTGCGGGCCGGCAAAAAAGGTTGAAGGACCACTATAGAGAAAAATATTGTATGCTGGTAACTGTGTGGAGTTAATAGCTGTATTCATAGTGTTCATCATATACACCGATCATCCATAACATTATGACCACTGAGAGGTGAAGTGAATAACACTGATTATCTTGTTACAATGGCACCTGGAAGGGGGGGGGGATATATGACAATGGCACCTGGAAGTGGGGGGATATATAACAATGACACCTGAAAGTGGGGGGATATATTACTATGGCACCTGAAAGTGGGGGATATATTACTATGGCACCTGAAAGTGGGGGATATATTACTATGGCACCTGAAAGTGGGGGATATATTACTATGGCACCTGAAAGTGGGGGATATATTACTATGGCACCTGAAAGTGGGGGATATATTACTATGGCACCTGAAAGTGGGGGATATATTACTATGGCACCTGAAAGTGGGGGATATATTACTATGGCACCTGAAAGTGGGGGATATATTACTATGGCACCTGAAAGTGGGGGATATATTACTATGGCACCTGAAAGTGGGGGATATATTACTATGGCACCTGAAAGTGGGGGATATATTACTATGGCACCTGAAAGTGGGGGATATATTACTATGGCACCTGAAAGTGGGGGATATATTACTATGGCACCTGAAAGTGGGGGATATATTACTATGGCACCTGAAAGTGGGGGATATATTACTATGGCACCTGAAAGTGGGGGATATATTACTATGGCACCTGAAAGTGGGGGATATATTACTATGGCACCTGAAAGTGGGGGATATATTACTATGGCACCTGAAAGTGGGGGATATATTACTATGGCACCTGAAAGTGGGGGATATATTACTATGGCACCTGAAAGTGGGGGATATATTACTATGGCACCTGAAAGTGGGGGATATATTACTATGGCACCTGAAAGTGGGGGATATATTACTATGGCACCTGAAAGTGGGGGATATATTACTATGGCACCTGAAAGTGGGGGGATATATTACAATGGCACCTGGAAGTGGGGAGGATATATTACAATGGCACATGGAAGTGGGGGGGGGGATATATTAGGCAACAAGTGAACATTTTGTTCCTGAAGTTGATGTGTTGGAAGCAGAAAATATGGCCAAGTGTAAGGATTTGAGCGACTTTGAGAAGGGCCAAATTGTGATGTCTAGACGACTGGGTCAGAACAACTCCATAACTGCAGCTCTTGATGGATGTTCCTGGTCTGCAGTGGTCAGGACCTACCAAAAGTGGTCCAAGGTGGGAAAACCGGTGAACCGTTGGCCAAAGTTCTTTGATGCACGCAGGGAGTGAAGGCTGGCCCATGTAGTTCGATTCAACAGAAGAGATACTGTAGTTCAAATTGCTGAAAAAAGGAATGCTGGTTCTGATAGAAAGGTGTCTGAACACACAGAGCATTGCAGTTTGTTGTGTATGGGTCTGTGTAGCCGCAGACCAGTCAGGGTGCCCATGCTGACCTGTGTCCACCACCAAAAGCGCCTGCAATGGGCATGAGAGCATCAGACCTGGACCATGGAACAATGGAAGAAAGTGGCCTGGTCTGATGATGGATGGCCGGGTGTGTGTGTGTCGCTTACATGGGGAAGAGACGGCACCAGGATGCACCATGGGAAGAAGCCAAGCCGGACAAGGCAGTGTGATGCTTTAGGCAATGTTCTGCTGGGAAACCTCGGGTCCTGCCATTCATGTGGATGTTACTTTGACATGTACCACCGACCTAAACGTTGTTGCTGACCAATTACACCCGTTCATGGAAACGGTATTCCCTGATGGCAGTGGCCTCTTTCAGCAGGATAATGCGCCCTGCCACACTGCAGAAATAGTTCAAGAATAGTTTGAGGAACACAACATCCAGTTTGAGGTGTTCACTTGGCCTACAAATTCTCCAGACCTCAATCCAATCTGTGGGATGTGCAGGAAAAACAAGTCCAATCCATGGAGGTCCCACCTCACAACTTACAGGACTTAAAGGATCTGCTACTGACGGTTCGGTGCCAGATACCACAGCACACCTTCAGAGGTCTAGTGGAGTCCATGCCTGGATGAGTACGGAAGAGGAGAGGCTACTCAATATTAGGTGTGTGATCATAATGTTATGGCTGTTGGGTGTATGTCATTTTTGATTTTGCCATAGTTCCAATTTAAGAATTACCAGAAATATTAAGAAATACATTTTAATGAACTTTTGATGTAATAATATTGGGAAATAACTGTGCTAATAGTGCATTTTATGTTCCCGGTGATCCTCTGTAACACAGGAAGCCGTGTTTTATCCGAGAGCAGCTGCAGTTATCAGACATCAGTGGGATGGATGTGGGAACGACGTGCTGTTATATTTGGACACCAGTTAGCGGTCTCAGCACAGTGTGCAAGAGCAGCAGGTTCCTGCGTGGTTTTCAGCTGCGTTAACGCTTTCTACCGGCTGCTTCTGACACCCTCTTATTTTTAACATCAGCTGAAATTCAGATAGCCACAGTTTTGCTGTGGTGTGGGGGGGGGAGGGGCTTGGCGAAAGGCTGATTTCCTCGGTAAGCATATCTTGATCCGATCACCCACCGGAAATCATCTGCAGATCGCTGATTGCCTCAGGCATCGCTCTGCCAGAGCCTGCAAATAGCACAGGGGCATGACATGCGCCGGTGCTATTAACCCTTTCCCTGCACGGCGGCGCTGACTTTTCAGTAGCTGGACCTTCCGTTTTAAAGTTTCTTGGGTGAAAATGGATTTAGAAATGAGTTCCCAAGCAAGGGGGACACTGGAGGATGCGTCACTTTTGCTTATAAGCAAATTTCTCATTGACATCATAAACACCATAGAAAGCGAAGATATAAATGTATTTGCAGATAAGCCGGGGGGGAGGGGGTGTTATTTTTTTTAGACAAGAATTTGTTCATGGAATGGATATTATTGACCATGCAAAAGTTCCTCAGTGCTTAGCCCTCTTAACTATACTTAACTCAAGAAACCTAAAGCAGACTTTGCATGAAAATGGCCCAGTGGCCCTGCTCTGTCTCACAATTCTGCAAAAAAACAACTGGGGGGGAATAAAGCTAGTTATTATACCTCTCACTCCCCCAATTTTTTTGTGGTGTCTAGGTGAGGGTGACATCCCATCCTTTTCAGGGAGATTCTGGGGTATGCAGAGTAGGCTAAATCTTGTGGGAATACCATAAGGGGGAATCTTCGGGATTTGGTTGGAAGGATGTTGATGTCACCCCCTGTGGTATGGAAGCCAGGGGTAAGGTAAATATATGAACTAACTTTTGCCCTCAATAGGATCCTCTCTAAATTTATTTTCCTGGCTAACAGGGCTGAACACTAAGGAACTTTTGTGTCATCAACATTATCCATTTTCTGAACAAATGTTTGTCTTTTTGTCCACGGGGGGGAAGAGGGGTTTGCACACTATTTCAGCAGAACTTCCAAAAGGTGCAAGATGGGACTCGAGGGGAAAAGCTAAACACAAAGCTGAAATGAACATATTTGAATTGTCTTAGCTGTCAAAGGATTTGTAGGTCTATCATTGACTTTTATGATTCGGACACACCTCGGCCAGACAGGACAGCCAAGGAGTTTGGTACCACTATGATAATGTACAACACTGTACAGTAGTTATATGCCAGTTCAGGGAGCGGGCTGTGGGTCTTTCCCAAACTTCAACTTCTTCACGATGTAGACATTAAGAGTTGTTTTTTTTTGTTCTGATCACAAAGCAATTCCTGGTAGCAGGACAGCATTTCAAGAAGATAGCGTAGTGTTCATAGTCAGGTCATGGACTAAAAAGTTTGATTTTGGTTTTTTGCGGATGATCCAAAACTGTGTGGGGCAGTAGTTTCTGAACAGGAGATAACTGTACTTCAACCTTTACAAAATTGAGGCCCACACCGCTCGCTCAGCCTCCTGTGACAGCGAGTCAGGAAGGAGAGTGGGTACAAGCAGACAGTGATCAGTGATCGCTGAGTGTTTGTAAATAATTGAGGACAGAGTATGGTTACTATATCCTCAATTATGAATGCATGGGAAGTAATCTACATCTCCTCCTGTTCATTCATAGTTGTGGTTATAGTAAACAAACAATGTCCTCATGTTATGAATGAACAGGAACACTCAGTATAGAGGCTTCCTTTCATTCATAACAGGGGATGCATAAAAAGAGATTGAGGGATCTGTGTTCTCAATCTCTTTTTCTATTTTAAAAGGGAAATATCAGGGGTCTGTTTAGACCCCTAATATTTCCCTGAAGCCCCCGACAGTAAAGTAAAAAAAAAAAAATATAAAAAAAATAAATAAAAATAAAATATTGAATAAAATTGAAAAAGGTTAGAAATAAAAACATTTTCGGTTTCGGCCTGACATTAATTTTCCTTTTGGTTTAGTTTCAGTTTCAAAATTTAAATTTCAGTGCACCCCTAATAAATACATTAAAATTTACAATTTAAAAGACTTTTATCCAACATGTCCGTATAAAACATAATGCAGAGGTGCACATTACTGCTCGCACATTTAATGCAACCCTTCATCATTTTTGTTGTATTACTTTCTGCATTATACATAAAATGATGATGACGCTATAGGAAATAATAATGTATGTTTGTTTCTTTCAGGGGACATCATGTTTAATGCCCAGTATCCAGAACTGCCTCCTGATTTCATCTTTGGGGAAGATGCTGAATTTTTGCCTGAGCCATCTGGCCTTCCAGTAAGTTTTACTGTGAAGTTGAACTTGTTTAGACTGGGACTACTTTAGACCAGTGGTTCCCAACCTGTGTAACCTCAGGATCCACATTTGTCCTTTGGTCATTAAGTTGCGACCCAAGTCGCACTGCAATGGAACGCACGGCATTGCGGTACCGCGTGTTCCGGTGTGGGTGATTGAACTGTTGCCGGGATGTGCGTTTGAGGTGCCATTCAAATGAATGGCAATGCAGCGCACCTCGCGCACCAGAACGTGTGGTAGGTGTGATTGCATGTTACAGTGCGTTAATCGCACAGGATTGTTCGATTAATGCACTGTACTAGTGTGAACGGGCCCTCAAAAACACTGACACACACAACCACACACACAATCTGACACACACATACACTTTTTTTTTTTTTAAGATCCACCTAGTCTCCCAACCTCACGAGAACTGGGGTGGATCCTCAGCCTGGGGTCCAGTGTGGGCTGCTGTGCTGTGACGGAGCTCATTCATATGTGCATTGCAAGTACAGCTCCCTTGCGTGCCCTGTAGAGGTGGCGGGAGCTAGAATGTGATGTCACTTCGGTCCAGGCACCTCTACAGGGCATGTGAGGGAGCTGTAAGCAATGCATGTATTGATGGAGCTCCCTCATGGCCATAGCCCCATTCCACCTCAAGCTGACACTCGGCGCCAGGCAGCATATTCTGAATGGCTGCTCAGCGCAAGTAATGACATTGCTGCGCTAGGGGGAGGCACACAGCTCCTGCGTCTCCATAGACTTACATGAGTTGTCCGCACACCTCTCCTTGCAACTTCGGATGCATCAGCAAACGACCCTTCACGTTGTACAGAGTAGCACGCCGCATGTGAATGAAGCCTAACACTGCAGTTATTCTGACCTCATGTCTTGGCTCTTCTGTTTGCAGTCACATGTCTTCTTGGCAAATAATGACTTGTCCTTGTCTATTGTCATTTTCCCTTTCACATTTGTATAAATGAACTGTTTCCCTCCTCTTTTCCCAGGTTTCCCTGACTCTATTTCCCCACTGTTACATTAACAATAGGGTGTACCAGTAAAAGGGCAGACAAAAGGAATAAGAAAAAATTAGCTATTTTTTCCTGGTACAAAATGTCCCTACTTTCCCACTGATATGTCATTTTCTTCCTTGGTAGATTGCAAGACCAGTTGTTTAGTTCTGAGGCGGATGTTTCACTGAGCATGAGGCAAGACACATGATTGATACCCAAGAACTGACAATAGTTCCATACTTAGCATACTGACAACTAAGGAGGGAAGTGAAATTCCCTTTAAGTACTGTTTTCTCTAGAAATTCCTTGAGGCATAAAAAAAGACGCTAAGGCTAGGTTCACACCTAACCACGGGGTTGCATTGCAGGAACATACACACGTTAACTCCTACACAGAGGGTGTTGGTTCAATGGGTGTGGAGAAAAGGGGGGTGCAGGCACAGTGGGTGTTAGGAGATGGGGGTGTGCAGGTGCGGTGAGTACTAATAGATAGGAGGGTGTAGGCACGGTGAATGGTGAGAGAAGGAGGGCAGTAGATGCTGAAAGAAGATGGATGTAATGTGGTGGGTGGTGAAAGAAGAGGGGCTGCAGGTATGGTCGGTGGTGAAAGAATGGGGTTGCAGGTGCAGTGAATTCTAAATGAAGGGGGTGCGGAGCCATGTGGTGGTGGATAGGAGAAGGGTGACTGCTGAAAGAAGGGGGGCTTCAGAATCATTGTGAGAGTGCTGAGAGTTGTAGGTGTGCTGGCATGGAGGGTGTTAAGAAAATGGGGGCTGAAGCCACAGTGTGTGCTGAGAGAAGGGTGTGCAGGTGTGGTGACTTGCACGGTAGGTGGGGAGAGAAGGGGTATGTAAGCACGTTGGGTGGAGAGGGAAGCGTACTGCTGTGGTGGGTAGTAAGTAAAAAGGGCTCAGGCATGGTGTGTTGAGAGAAGACAGTGTGCAATTGCGGTGGGTGGTGAGGGAGG